ATAATAATAATAATAATAATAATAATAATAGTCAGGTCTAGACCTTACTGTGTAAAGTGTCCTGGGGTGACTTTTGTTGTGATTTGGCGCTATACAAATAAATTTTAATTGAATTGAATTGTATTATTTAAACTTCAAAATATCTTGGTTATGAAACCATTGTACTGTAAAAATTAAATAAAATAAAATAAAATTAGACTAGTTAGCCAACTCTGTGCTATAGAGAAAGTTATTATTAATGTGTGTTTGTGTTATTATATTTATTATTTTGATACTTGTTTTCTGCAGTGCAAAATTGACAACATCAAAACACATTGTAATGGACAAGAATTTAAGCCAAGTACAGCTGCACAAGGACACTACAACCATTTAAAAGAAATCCACTAAATATGCAGGTTGTGAATGTGTGACACTTAAAACATTCATTTATTTTGTAGACTCCTGCATGAACTATCTATTTGATACATTTTATTCTCTTGCAGATTTTATTTATAAAGCCATAACTTCAGAACATTTTATTTGAAGCTGTAAGTGCTAAAGCGTTGAACCTCTGCACTCATTACAGTGTATTTTATTGTGTTGGATGCCATTCTACTGTTTTGCCACTAGGGACACTCTTGCTGTTTGTGCATAACCTGTCTGTGTTTGTGCGTATATTGTTGTGCTTCCTGTGTTTTCCTGTTGGTCCTGTTCATGCTGCTATGCTACCAATCACAAATAAATAGTTGTTAAATCCAAGCCTTCCCTGCCTAATTATTGGCTACCCACCACAACAAGTAATGATTGTAGTGAGTTAGAGTTAATAAAACTGTAAGTTAGGAGCATCACAATCGCTTTAACAGATAAATATTCTAAGAAGGAGAGGAACAAGAACAACAATCCTATCTGACATAATTATATAATTCATTACCTGACTACATCCATTGAAGCAGCACCAGACTTGAAGAAATCGGTGGAGTCTTCAATCTGACTCACATTAGTCAGAATGCTCTGCCACACTGCCTGCCAGAAAACATGGTCAAAAGTCATCATGGGACATTTTTGGAGGACAAATAGACATTTCTCCTGGCAATGTCTGATTTCAACTTTTCACCACTTCCATAGAATTTGTCATAATCGATGCCCATACCCTCATTTGTTGAGCAAAGGTTTTCTCTTCCTCAGTGAGCTCCACAGCAGCACTGCTCCCTGAGCTAAAGTACTGCGCTGCAGCAATCATCTTCCCATCCTCAAACTGCAAATTTTTCACCAACAGCTGCAAAGAAAGAAAGTGAGAGAGACACAATAACTGAATAAGAATAACAGTTTCACCTAAAAATAAGCTGACAAAACTCTTCACACCTGATTGTATGGCAGGTATGTTGGATGAAGAAGGCAAATTTCAAAAACATAAAATAACTCACATACACTGTCTCACCGTTTTAGCCATAAATTCCTGGAATACACAAGTTTTTAAATTGTTTAATTTCTCAGCCTTGGAGGCTGCTGCTTGGTATTTATTCATCAAATTAATGCTGTTACATACAGAAATATACTACACGTGTATGCACATTTTTCTGCTGAATGCCTGCTACATGAATGAAAGTGCAGTAGGCACAGCAGCCTCTCTGCTGTCTAGTAAGCACAATTTCAAACACTGCTACACGGTCATCTGGCCAACAACTGACCTGCATGTTTACATATGGACACCAGTCACTCTTTCTTCATTCATTCAGAACATTGAGATTCATAATAGTAGTAGCACAGCTGTCAGTTCACACTTAAAATTTATGGTGGCAGAGGCCTCAAGCCTCAATACAAAAAAAAGCACATCTTATCACGCATAAGTTAATGAATGTTATAATACAAGTACAATGACTACAGCTGTGCCTGCAGAGTAGAACCACCTAGCGGGAAGATTAGTGGGTCATCATCACATCTTGGAAAACTTTTCTAAATTGGCATTACTTGGATAGACTGAACACATGTTTGAAAACTAGATGGTTATTTTCTGAAAAATATCAAAACACACGAAAGTGGCATAATAACAGTCCTGGGACAAAAACTATAACAGCTTTGAGCCAATAATGCATCCATTCTAGCGTTGCACACATGAACGCACTGTTCCATTCCCTGAATACAATTAGCTCGCTCACACGCTGCTCCGGCTGAACGATATGATGGGAATGACACAAATGCGCATGTGCAATGGGTCCCACACTCGGAAGCAAAACATTTTTTTTGGCGAATGCGCCAGGCGAGCAGCTTTTACTGGAGAGAATGGGCGCCATGTTTCTGTCCGGTATCTAGGTTTTAGGCATACACATTTTGCAAAAGGAGAGTTAGTTAACAGTAAGGTTCAACATGGCCACTGCAACGCTTCAGACATTCAACGTCTTTCTGACGGAACGATTAACCGCAGCTGCGGTAGACATTTATGGATTCGTTGAAAAGACAATCATAGACTACCAAGAAGAGGTATACCGAACGAAAATGGAGAACCAGAGGCTGCAGCGGCTCCTGGATTTGGTCTACAAACCAGAAATTAGACTGCATAGAACAGGTAGGCTATCATTTTACCCTATAACTAACATTATAACGAACCATTAACTAAACCACACCATACGACACTATGCAACATATTTAGTTAAGGGGTTTCTAATCGCTACGTTCAGGTATATCGTAGAGGGTAATGTGTATTGTGTAGACAAATGAACGCTGGATATTCAGACACTGGGCGAGGTTGATCCTCAATAACTTTTACGTGCGAGCATTAATAACCATCACATTTGTTGTGCTTTACAGAATAATGCTTTACTGATGCTACACAGGTGATAGTTTTACCTCACGATCCGATGTGGAAGCCTAGTGCCTTGAACCCCCTCCCCCCATACTTTTTTCCAAAACATGTCAAACTAGTCTCCTTTTCATCTGGCCCTCCTGTCGCTACATACAAGTCATAGCACCTCACTGGGCCCTACTGAATGATTTTTAATGTAAAATTGGTGGTTGTCTATGTGGGAGGAGGTGCAGATGAAAAGCAAGTTGCTTTGAGGGGTCTTAAATTAATAGTCTTGAACGTTTGAGACTGTTCTTGTATTCCGCATAGAGATGCACTCCCTTAACTGTATAACCATTAACTGATGATAAGAATACCAGCTGATTAATACCATCAGTTAAATGGTTAAAAACCATTAAACAGTTTTGCTGAAAATTAAATAAATTAATGAATTAAGTTGTTTTTTTATTGCAAGTAACTGTGACAGTTGATTGAGCTGGATTACATTGGGTACTTCTAGATTAGCTTTGCACACATCATAACTCCAAATAGTCTGTAATTATTTCAGAATGATAAACCCCAATATCAGAAGGATAGTTCATGAACACACACAACTCCTGTTGCCAATCAGGACACTCTGACAGCACATAAAGAAAAAAAAACCTTTGACAAATAAGGTATGTTACAATACCTCAAATCCTACCTGAAATGTTTGAGGAAGAATATGAAAGTGGACAGCAGCATGAACCACAACAGCATTAATTAATTTGAATTTCTCCTCCATAGATGGATAAACAGTGGTATATGTACAAATGAAAAGAGATGTGTAACATGTTAAACAAAGCAGATAATTGAGAAACCCCATATTTTAACTGGCATAATGCAGACATAGTAACTTCCAGCCTTACAACAGTTCTCTCTGCTGAAACAACACATTAACAGGCATGTAACGTGTTAATTCCAACAGGTAGTGTAGCACTGACAATAACGGCATTGATTGTTAGAATCCGCTCGCCAACCTGCAACACATCACATGCAGCAGACAAAAAAAAACAAAAAAAACAGGTACTGTTTTCTGGGGGAATCCAGGATTGATGAGCTGATCATTCATCGGCCCAGGGTGCTTCACAGGCCGGCTGATCGTAGGTTCGACCTGGTCAGGTAAAACAGCAAGTCCCTGTACAGGAACTTTCCCAGACGTGCAGTAACCTCAGGCCCTGTATTTTTCTCCACATCCTCTGGTCACAGTGCAGCAGCAGGAGGTAAAAAATATCCACAAAACCACGTGCATTTGAAAAATCTTATTTTTAAAATGGCACAGGTGGATGTCAGGCAAGCTCACATGAATGTGCAACTGCCTGGAGATTATGACCATTCAAGGAAATCTTTAAACTATCCAGTGAGACTTTACATAGCTGGGAAAAAAGTCTCCCCAGCGATGGGTTCGCTAGACTTGTAAAAACCGAGTTGCTTCTGCATAGAAGTATTAGAACATAGAAGATGATAATTCATCATTGTAACATTGTAGATAAGTCAGAAAAGCATACCAATAGCACTTTAATAGCCTATCATGCATTGATGTAAAAGCAGGGTTTGACTGTTGTAGTTGGTTGACTGGAGCGCTTTTGAACTATTTTGTAACCAAGTGCAACTACAGATTATATTCATTAGGGATTAATCTGCTGATTATATTCTCTATCAATAGATTGACTGGCTTGTAAAACTACTGACAGCAGTGAGACATGCCGCCACAATGCTCTAAACGATTATCAGAATAGTTGCTTATTTACTGTGGGTGTGGAACAGCACAGCCAGATTGATCCTGTCTGTACCTTCACACACAGTGACTTCTGTCAAATGTTGGAGTCAGGAAGGTTTTTGTGTGTTTCTGGGGTCAGACTGGCATCATTCTGTCCTTTTTTAAAGACAGAGATTAGATTTTATAGTTTAATTTAGCCACAGGGGTTGCAAGCCACTGACTTCTGTGCTGGTCCCAAGCCCGGATAAATAGAGAGGGTTGCGTCAGGAAGGGCATCCGAGGTAAAACATGCCAAATTTAAACATGCAAATCATCAGTGCGAATTCCATACTGGATCGGTCGTGGCCCGGGTTAACAATGACCGCCACCAGTGCTGTTGACCTACAGGGTGCTGGCTCAAATTGGACTACTGTTGGTTGAAGAAGGAGAGGAGGTAGAAGGATTTGTAGACAAAGAGAGAAGAGGAAAGGCAGGAGTATAGGTCTGAGAATAGGGACTCTTAATGTTGGCACAATGACGGGGAAAGTTATACAAGGTGATGGAGAGTATTCCCAGAGTCTGGCCTGGGGTTTATAACATCTGCAGGGCCCCATCGCTCTCTCACTTCCATTCGTCCCAGTCTCTACTGTCTACTCTCCAGTACAGGCATAAAACAGCTGCATCGCCCCA